CTTCCGTTCGAGTTCTCTGCTAGACGATGCTAGATGATCGGATCTCCCCAAGAATCGGTCGGCTGCAAGAATAATCGTTCTTTTTCGCGCATCGGCCGTCTCTCGTTCGTTGATTTCCAATGACGGAAGGAAGGGAGAAGATTTATTTATGGAATCCAAATGTTGGGCTGATACAATAAGTAAAATAACCTACTAAGTACTAACAATAATAAAAATAATAATAATAATAATAGTAATAATATTAAAACACATTGAATTGAGGTTAAGAAATTATATTATCCTGATAGAATTCAAATAATAAACAAATTTAATAGAAACAGTCCTAAAAAATGAATAATACTAACAAAGTTACTTATATAACAATAATAAATAAAATAAATATAAAATTAATCAATTATTGTAAATTAATTATAAAAATATTATTAAAAATAACACTAAAAACAATGTTTATCAGTTGTACTCCATGCTTTATAAATTGTTCCCTTGTCTCCTTACTCTTCCCACTTTAGTAAGAGCAAAGAAGTCTTTTCACCTTATGTTTGTGTCCCAAGCTAACCTAGGGTCATCCTTCATTTCATTTCTCTAACACCCTAAACACAAAAGCTCTTCCTTCTCTCTAGAAAATTGTTAGCTTCTTCTTCAAGCCAAGTTTGGGCAATCCAAGATTCTTCAAGTTGGTCTCCAAGATTCATTCTTTCTTAAGCTTGAGCATAAGGGAGGGTAAGATCCTTGGTCCCTTAGTCTTTTTAGTATCTTTTTAGGTGTCTTTTTCTAAAGATGGAATCTTTGTTGTCTTTTGGTGTGTTTATGAAGTTGAAGTTGAAGGAGAGCCTTAATAGAAGCTTGTAAGGGTGTGATAAGTGAAGTTGTAGGCTACAAGAGGTAACCCATGCTTTACAAAATCTATTTTCTTACCTATATGATGATTTCTTGACTTCTACTTGTGATTTTGCTATGAAATGTGAGATTTGATGCATTGTCTTGTGGGAATGCATATCCAGAGCTTGTTATTAGTGTTCTTGTATGCCATTGCTTGACTATTTCTTTGATTCAAGTCATATTGTTGTATTTTGTGAGATTTTGGGTGTTTTGGACTTGAATTTGGACTTGGTGTTGAAAATCCCCAAAGGGATTATTTTAGTACAGGGTTGGTACCCGCGGGCGGAACGGCGGGCAGTGGCCTACCCGCCGCCCCACCCGCGGGGTACAGGTGAGACGTGGTCTCGTACCCACGGGCGGAACCACGGGTGGTTTTCCACCTGTGGCCCCACCTGCGGGGAACACGTTTTGGGTTGTTTGGGGATTTGTTCCCCATGATTCGTTTGACTCGGTAATTGATGTTTTGACTTCCCGATGTTTTGTTGGGCTATTTGTGTGTCTTCTTGATGTTTCGTATGTCTAGAATGATATGTTAGGAATCCATGTAGGATTTGGTGTCTTGAATCGTGCTAAGTGTTCAACCTTGTGATTCGTTGAACCATGATGAGTCTTGTATGTTCTTCGGAACTATGTTTTGTTTACCCGTTTGATAAGCATGCTAGTTTGATGTTGAAATGCTAGCGTGTGTGGTTTGTTCTTTCCTATTGTGGATGATAACTTGTGTTGATCATCATTGGATTCGGATAGTAATCCTTCCTTGGTAAGTATGGTTTCATATCTTTGTTGTGATCCATTGATTGATTCTTGTGATGATGTATGTGTATTGGCTGTACCTGGATTGCACGGTTAATGGTATGGGACATTAATCACCAAGGTACAGATGTGGTCCTCGTGGTGGCCATGAAATGATATTGGAGTTGTAATATGGGCTTCAGGCTCACTTGTAGGTGGTTGTGTGATTGAAATGAACGGTACCCTCGTGTACTATGTGTTAGTGGAAATGTTGGTGGTTGTTGGTGGGGGAACGACAGTTCCCGGAGGCATAAGGTTGGACTCAGAAGTACAGGGGTTCTCGGAGGTAATGGTTGGAACTGTAATAAGGCCGGGGGTAGCCATAAGGTTGGAACATGGCATAAGGTTGGAACTTGTGACATGAAGTGTCACTGTGGCATGTAGTTGCCAATGTGTGTATGTCTATCCTTTCCTGATGAGCATGTCGAGTTGTATTCTACTTTGTGATCAGTAGAATACACCTCGAGTTGTACTTGTGTTGTTGTTGTCCTTGTCTTGATGTCTTCTACTTTGTGATCAGTAGATTACCTCTTGATCTGTGTTGAGTTGTACTGTTGTTGTTCTTGTCTTGATGTTGTCTTGGGATGTTGATTCCCTTTGTCCTTTTTGAGAGTGAAATAGATCAGTCTTTGCAATTGACTTCTCTTTATGGCTTTGAACTGATATATACTGTATTCCGTTTCGAAAATTATTTTGTATTATACTATCTATATATGCTACTTAACGCGTATTGATGGGTTACCAGCAATATTCGCTGACCGGGCGTCGTCCCCTTTCTTTATGTGCTTTACAGGTCCTGAGTAGACATGGCGAGAGCGTTAGCCGTTGGTAGTTTAGCTCTCTTGAACAATGTAGTTAGTGTTTTGGCCTGTTTGCCACAGTTGTTGAACAAAATAGTTTGATGGTTTTAGACTTGCCTGTGCATTCACGTTGAGGTGAATGTGGCATAACACTCCTCGGTTTTCCCTGTTTTTATATTAGACTTCCGCTGTGCTTACGTTTTATGATATATGTTAGTTACCTTACCTTACGTATTTAAGTTTTAAAATGACATGAAAATCAAGGGTGTTACAGTTGGTATCAGAGCCTAGGTTTGAGCCTAGGATGTTAGATTCTGGACTTTTAAGAAGTTAAGTGTGGTTTGAGACCCTAAGGTGACCTTAAGTATCTAAGTGTTTAGGACTTAGGACTTTTAGGACGCCAGGTGAGGTTGTGAGTTCTTTTATTGTTTTCTGTTGTGCTTCCTGTGCTTTTTTCTCCTTTTAGCTTTGGTTCTCTTTAGTTAAGGCACCAGGTAAGGGTGCGGGTCCTAAGTTTCCTCCCGTTATCGTGCTGTCGCTGTAGAAGTCAAGGATGGCACCATCGAGATGTCGTGCAAGGTCTTCAGAAGCAGTCACCAATGAACAGTTAGCTCAAAGCCTTCATCAACTGACACAGATCACCCAGACGCTGAGCAACGCCCTCATCAACAACAACCACCCTCTTCAGAATGGGAATCGCGACGTAGTACGCCAAGTCTCAAGTCTCCGTCCCCCGAGAGATGTAAAGCTAGGTTGGTGGTAAAAGGCTACACTCAAACTTGTGGATTGGACTACATTGATACCTTCAGTCCAGTTGCAAAAATTACTTCTATAAGGACTCTTCTTGTTGTTGCAGCTACAAAAGGGTGGGAATTATATCAACTAGATGTAAATAATGCTTTCCTTCATGGCGATCTTCATGAAGAGGTATATATGCATCTTCCTCCAGGCTTTACTACACAATACCCCAGGCAAGTTTAAAGGTTAACCAAGTCACTTTATGGGCTGAAACAAGCCAGTAGGCAATGGAATTCCAAACTCACAAAGGAGTTGACTACTTTGGGATTTAAACAAGCTGTGTGTGATAATTCTTTGTTCACCAGGGGCAATGGTGCCAAGTTCGTGACCTTACTAGTGTATGTGGATGATGTGATACTGGCAAGCAGTGATGGGAACCAAATTCAACAAATCAAGAACCACATGCACTCTACATTTCAGATCAAAGACTTAGGGAACTTAAAGTTCTTCCTAGGTCTTGAAGTTGCAAGGACACGTAAATGGATTGCTATCAACCAGAGAAAGTATGCACTAGACTTGCTATCAGAAACAGGATTTCTAAGCAGCAAGCCCATGAAGACTCCCATGATAAAGTCAACAAAACTGAGCCTAAACATTGGTGCACCATTGGAGGACAACATTCAATACAGAAAACTTGTTGGCAAATTATTATATTTGACCATCACAAGACCAGACATATGCTTTGTTGTCTAGCAACTGTCTCAATTCCTAGACAAGCCTACCACTATTCATCTACAAGCAGTTCATAGAGTGTTGAGGTATGTCAAGAGCTTCCCAGGCCAATGCTTGTTCATTCCAGCCACATCCAGTCTCAAACAAAGAGGATTTGCTTATTCATATTGGGCTGCCTGCCCTAACACTCGATGTTCTGTAACTGGCTTCTGTATGTTCTTAGGGGATGCCTTGATCTCTTGGAAGTCCAAAAAAACAAGGCACAATTTCCAGATCATCCTTAGAAACAGAGTACAGAGCCATGGCCTTTGCTACTTGTGAAATTCAATGGCTGACTTTCTTGCTTGAGACATTGGAAGTGAAACTGGAAGGACCAGCTGTATTGTACTCTGACAGTAAATCAGCAATAGCTATTGCTGAAAATCTGGTCTTCCATGAACGCACAAAACACGTAGAGATTGATTGTCATCTCATAAGGGAGAAGATTCAAAAAGGCATCATCAGGCTGCTGCACATCTCTACTGACAATCAAACTACTGATATCCTAACCAAACCCCTACAACCTTTGCCTTTTCAGAAGTTTGTCTCCAAGCCGGGGCTTCATTCCATATACACTCTAGCTTCCCGGGGGGGGGGGGGGGGGGGGGTGTATTAGGTGCAGAAACTGATTAAAGATTCAGTTTAGTTAGTTAGGGAGCAGTTTTGTAAATCTGTTAGTTAGTTACTTCCTATCTGAAAGCCACATAGACAAGTTAGAAAAAGCTGTTTAGTTGTTGTTGAAACTTTTGTTTACACACTCAATGTAACAGTACTCTTTTCATTCAATTCGACTCTCTTCTCTCTGTTAGACTATAGTTTATTATTATTATTAATATTGTTATGTTATGATGTATTCTAGATTAGTCCTAGTCTAGTGGCTATTAGTTAGTTCTCTCTCCTGAGAGTATTAATTGTAATCTGTTTCAGTTATTGAATTGATTATCTCTTTCCACATTCATCTGGTATCAGTTAGCCAGGCAAATCTCACGCAAAGAAATTTTTTTTTTCTCTCCATCGACAATGTCGAGTAGCTCTGAGCATACCGTGACCACCATCTCCTCCCCAAATAATTCCTCCAACACCCTAACGAGTGCACATCACTTCGTGTCGCTCAAGCTCACGCATCGGAACTACCTATACTGGCGGACTCAGGTGATCCCGTTTCTCCGGGGTCAAGGTCTGCTAAGCTTCGTCGATGGTACGCGGTCGCAGCCATCACCATTCATGGAGGTCCCCGCCGGTGACAACTCCAGCAATAACATCTCCACCACGGAGAATCCGGCCTATGCGGCCTGGGTGCAACAGGATGCATCCATCCTCTCCCTTTTGATCTCCTCACTGTCTGAGGAGGTGATGTATCTAGCTCTTGGACAAACCACCGCACGTGGTGTATGGACGGCAGCAGAGACAGCTTTGGGATCATCCACGCAGGTTCGTTGTCTCAATCTGCTTGGGCAGATCCAATCCCTCCGCTAAGGAGACAGCTCCACCTCCGAATATCTAGGCAGGGCGCAGCATCTTGTTCAGGACCTCGCACTTGCCGGGAGGACTCTCACGCCGTCGGAGCAGAATTTGTATGTCTTTCGAGGTTTAAGGCCGGAGTTCCGGTCGATGGCTTCTGCATTGGCGATCAATGGCACGCCCGTTTCCATTCCGCAGTTGGCGGATTTTCTCTAGGCCCAACAATTCATCCATGAGGATGATTTCCCGTCACACACACCGGCAGCAGCTGCTGGGCCTCTGTCGGCGATGTATGCATCACGTGGTGGCGGTGGTCGTCGCCAGCATGGAGATGGCGGCCGGCAGTCACGTGGTGGCGGAGGACGCGACAATCAACGTGGCGGCAGAGGAGGCCGTGGTCGGTCAGGTGGGGTGCACTGCCAAATATGCAGCAAGCAGGGGCACTCCGCCGCGTTTTGCTACCGGACACGGGGGCCTCGATGCATGCTACCCCCGATTCTAGCATGCTCACGCAATCCGAGGAGTATCACGGTGACGACGTGTTGCAAGTGGGCGATGGCACAGGTTTGGCCATCTCGCGTGTGGGTCATGCAGCAATTCTGTCTATTAATAAACCTTTAAAAGTGTCCAATATTTTACATGTTCCTGAACTGTCTGCGTCGTTATTATCCGTTAATCGTTTTACTAGAGATAATAACTGCTATTTTGAGTTTCACCCCACGTTTTTTGTTGTGAAGGACTGCATCACTCAGGCGGTCTTGCTTAAAGGGCCAAACTCGGGGGGCTTGTATTCGTTATCAGTTCCTAGCGCGCATTATGCTTTTGTTTCGGCTCGTGCCACTTCCATGGTCTGGTATCAGCGTCTCGGTCACCCACACAATCAGGCGCTTCATCGTGTTCTGCAAGAATGTCCCGTTGAGTCAAATAAAGTTGCTGTTCCCAAATTGTGTGCTCCATGTCAACTTGGCAAGTCTTCCCGATTTCCTTTAGATAGGGTAGTCAAGTCAAGTAATAATGTACTCGATTTAATTTTCACTGATATATGGGGCCCCGCACCAGTTATTTCTGCGGATGGTTCCTGTTATTTTGTACTATTCGTAGACGATAACACCCGCTACTGTTGGTATTATCCTCTACATCTTAAAACCGACATATATAAAATCTTTGATGTTTTTCGGGCGACGGTAGAACGCACCTTTTCGTGTTCTATCAAGTCCATCCAGTCCGATTTGGGAGGGGAATACCAAAAATTACACAAACTCTTTACCAAGTTAGGGATTGTCCACAGGCAATCTTGCGCCTATACACACGAGCAAAATGGCCGTGTGGAACGCCGGCATCGGCATATTGTCAAGACCGGCTTGGCACTAATGGCACAAGCGTCTGTCCCACAACGTTATTGGGATCACGCGTTTGAAACAGCCACCTTCCTAATCAATCGACTCCCGTCTGCACCACTCCAGTTTGATACACCCTATTATCGCCTATACAAGGCCCCATCCATGTACACATATCTACGTGTGTTTGGGTGCCTTTGTTTTCCCTATCTCCGTCCATATAATCGCCATAAAATCGAGTACCGGTCGAGTCCCTGTGTCTTCTTAGGTTACCCTCCGTCATTTAGGGGTTACCGCTGCATGAATCTAGACACCGGGAAAACCTATACTTGTCGTCACGTCCGCTTTGACGAATCCATTTTTCCTTTTGCAGCAACTAGTCCCAACATTCGGGAAGTGCCGCCTGACATCCAAAATGTACCATGGGGCTCTAGTCCCGTTCTCCAAAGTGGCAGTGGTACCATATCAGCACCACCAAGTGCACCAGCACCACCTGTTCCTTGTGCACCGGCTCGTGCGACGAGGAAAAGGGGTCCACGGACCCGGCCCCTGGAACGGGCCCACGTCATGCAGTTACGGTGTATGACTAAAGGGACTGGAGAATAACTACAGGCACTCACAGCTTCAACTGCGGACCCGACTTGCTATTCCCAAGTAGTTGGGCATCCACAGTGGTGAGACGCTATGGACCAAGAGTTCAATGCGTTACTTCATAACAACACGTGGCAGCTGGTTCCTGCTACACCGAACATGAACATTGTGGGGTGCAAATGGGTGTTTCGCACTAAGCGCAAAGCCGATGGTTCGGTTGAGCGCTACAAGGCAAGACTGGTGGCCAAGGGTTTCAACCAGGTTGCAGGCGAGGACTTCTTTGAGACATTTAGTCCCGTGGTCAAACCAACCACAGTTCGGATATTAGTGTCGTTTGCCATATCACGCGGGTGGACACTCCGTCAGCTGGATGTCCACAACGCCTTCTTGAATGGACACTTGTCTGAAACTGTCTACATGCGCCAGCCTCCAGGGTATGAGGACCCCGATCATCCTGATCATGTCTGCCACTTACGACGTTCCTTATACGGGCTTAAATAGGCTCCACCGGCCTGGTTTCATCGTCTACATGATTTCTTAATTGTAACAGGGTTTATTGCCTCCAAAACAGATGTATCTCTGTTTCATTATTCAGCTGCAGATTCTCGTGTTTTTCTGCTTGTGTATGTGGACAACATCATCATACTCGGAAATGATGCCACCTTAGTTGAATCTCTACTACAGCGGCTAGTTACGGCGTTTAAAATCCGGGATCTCGGGGCACCAACGTTCTTCCTTGGCATAGAAACCATCACAGTTCCAGATGGTATGATTCTCACACAACGGCGGTACATGCGAGACATTCTGCAACGAGCAGGCATGACTGACTGCAAGCCGCTAGCCACACCAGTGTCTATTACTCAGCCAGTTAGCCAGTCCGATGAGCTTTTTGATAATCCCACACAGTACAGACGGCTAGCGGGGGCACTTTAGTATCTTTCCATCACTCGACCGGATATATCCTACGCGGTCAACCGACTGTGCCAGTTTATGCACAGTCCCACACAGGAGCATTGGGGTTTACTTAAGCGAGTTCTTCGTTATATAAAGGGGAGTCTAGACTACGGGCTACGCATCTCACCATCCAAGACCTCGGAAATACATGCATACTCGGATTCGGACTGGGCCGGGTGTCCTGTGGATCGAAAGTCTACTAGTGGTTATGCTGTCTTCATTGGTACCAACCTTGTCTCATGGGTCTCTAGGAAACAGCGTATAGTGGCTCGTTCGTCAACTGAGGCCGAATATAAGGGCTTAGCAGACGTCTATGCAGAGGTTACGTGGGTTCTATCTTTACTCCGTGAGTTGGGTCTCGACTCCACCACACCTCCGACTCTTTGGTGCGACAATCTTGGAGCGACATACTTATGCGCCAACCCAGTCTTTCATGCGCGCACTAAGCATGTCAAAGTAGGCTATCACTTCGTCCGAGACAAGGTTTCGTCTGGTGAGTTTCGGGTTCACTTCGTCTCCACCAAAGACAAGCTTGCTGATATTTTTACAAAACCGTTACCGGCTGCGCGCTTTGGTGTTCTTCGTTCCAAGCTCAATGTGGTGAATCACCCACCTTGCGCTTGAGGGGGAGTGTTAGACTATAGTTTATTATTATTATTAATATTGTTATGTTATGATGTATTCTAGATTAGTCCTAGTCTAGTGGCTATTAGTTAGTTCTCTCTCCTGAGAGTATTAATTGTAATCTGTTTCAGTTATTGAATTGATTATCTCTTTCCACATTCATCCTCTCTTCGTGTTAATCTTCTATTCTGAATTCATTGTTGTTGATGGCATGATAATCCTTGATTTTGAGCTTTTGGCTATTTTCTTGTACTGCGTATTATGACTACTCCCAGTTGGTTTGAAATGTTTATTGAAGCTATCCAGTGTTTAGAACTGAGTATTGTAGGCTTGTTTGATTGAGTTTGGACCTAGAATTCCTTGATATCATCTATTCTTGATATTCCTATGATTTATTCTTGGATTTGTGTCCCAAATGCTTATTAATTCGTTGTAAGTATTCTTGTAAGCTTTTGTTGAATTGCATGCTAGTATAATTTGTTCTTAATGCTAGTATGTCCCCGTTGTCATCTTTATTCTTCGAATCTTGTTGAATTTGACTTGAACCTATTATTCTTGAATCCCTTTCCTTGGAATCCATTGAGTTGTTGAGTTGAGATCTATTCCTTGTTGCTATATTCTTGACACCCGTATTTGTTGAGCAATTCCTATGAACTTGATGTTGATTATCTTTCTCTTGAGAGTCTATTCCATTGTCTTAGCTTAGTATGACTCTCTTGTTGACTTGAAACCTTGATTATTCTTGTTGAGATTGATATGCTGGCAAAGTGGATACTGGGGGACTTATTTGATATTGATTTGAGATTGGCGGGCCTCTGGCTCTGTTTGCAATGGGTCCTGTTGGTGTGGGAAGCCCTGGACAGGTCGTGTGACACCCCGTAATAAAAAATCGATTAAGGGATTAATTAAGTAATTAATCCTAATTCAATTGGTATCTTAATTCCTAAAAGTCCTGAAAATTCAATAGTCGGGGTGTTGGTCCCAAAGGGGGTGTGGTAAAAGTCTAGGGGAGGGGGGGGGGGGGGGTGAATAGACTTTTAAACTTTTTCGTGAATACAACAATTGCTAAGGCAACAGAGAGATCAAGACTCTTAACTAGATTGTTAGAGTCTTGTACGCAGCGGAATAAATAAATACGAGTTGTGTGATTGTGTCAAGTGTATCCACGTGATAAGCAGTAAGTAAATAAAGCAGGAAATGACACAAGGCAATTTATAGTGGTTCGGAGGTGATGTAATCCCCCCTACTCCACTTGATCTTATCGTCCAAGACCAATTCACTATATCCACCACTTCTTGGTTCCTAGATACAATGAATTTCCGTGATCTAGTGCTTTGATCACAAAGCCCACACTAATCACACCAGTGCCTCCAACACTGTTGCTTTGGATTTCACAGCTCTGTGCTACTTTCCAGGATTTCACAGCTCCGTGCTACTTTCCCCCCGTCTTCCACGATCCGATCGACGTATCCCGTGATCTGGTGCTTTGATCACCAAGCCCACACCAATCACGCCCAGTGCCTCCGATACTGCTGTTTCGGATCTCACAGCTCCGTGTGACAATCCAGGATTTCACAACTCCGTGCTACTTTCCCCCGTCTTCGACGTATCCCGTGATCTAGTGCTTTGATCACAACGCCCGCACTAATCACGTCCAGTGTTCTCCAACAGTGTTGATTCACTTGTTTGTAGAAAAACAAGTTTCACTGA